TATTCATAAGAGTTATACTTTGACTAAAGATTTTTTATTCTTCATGTCATCCTTGATCCAAGGGTATTTCAATTCTTTCCAAAGCTGAGATAGAAGCAAAGTTGATCTAAAAGAATGTCTTCATGTACCGTAATCGCTGTATTAAGGGCCCACCCATAATGAGCACCCACCTCGCTTCACAGAGTTCCAAGAAATATCTAGGAATGACCATGTATTAACGAATATATCAGAAAAATAGTTCATTATTGATGAAGGAAATGTTCATGTTTCAGAGAAAAATTCCCATTCGTGAAATTCCCATGGAATGGGTTACAATGGGAATTTCAATTTCAAAAAACAATTCATTTTATAGTTACATTTAGACAGAGACATTCATGTATGCCTTTAAAGCAATCAGGCAATCTTCAATTTGAAAAAAGCACCGACCATTTCAAAAAGTCAAATAGAAAACTCTGATGTATAATTTTTCAGTAAATGATTGTTGATTTCATAAATGTGCTACTAAATTCCATCATGATACTGTAATACGACATACATTGTAATATAAAACTAGAGAAAATAGGAGAATCGTTGCCTTACAAAATAAAGTACAGTAAAGAATGCAAAAGTTGGGTACTTTCTTCAGTAGAACACTATTATAAACATCCTGTTATCCCTAAACTCACTGGCGGATTTTGGGCCAAGAAAGGCCTTAAGGCCCCAAAAAATTTGGGCCCACTTTTGGGTTTTAGGGGCCCAAAACCTTTTTTCTCTGACCTGAAATTTGGCCCCCCCCCTTGTTGGTTCCCAGATCCGCCCCTGTAACTTAATCAAAATCTTTAAGTGGAACATCTCCCAAATGGAACACTATTGTGATGTATGAAAGACACTTTGATAGGTTTTACCATCACACTGAAATGATGTCAGGCCTTTAAATTCTTAACCAAAGTATTATTACTCTTTGGAAGATGTTTTAACCACCTTACTCAAAGTGAAGGATAATTATTCCCTTGTGATATTTGATAACGTTCCTTGTAATATTATCAGAGTAATTTTTCATAAGCGGACATTCTTACATTCTCTCCAAGACATATATCATATATTGACACATTAGTTTATGAGGTTGCATGTTCAGCTGACAAACTACTGGAAGTCTGAAATTGTTCCAATGATTATAGATAAAGGACAGGGTCAGGCCGTCCAACTATGCCACAATTTGTGTATTTCTCACACATTTGCTGAGAGTTTGTGAACTAGCATGTAGAGCGAAGCGAACCTGAAAAATTTCAGGTGTCCAAAGTTTGGAAATATGCAATAAATTTTGTGTTGAAAAAATTGTGCATTTCAAGAATACAATGCATAAGTATTTTATTTATACATTTATTTTGTCTTAATTCGATAATTTGAATTCAACTCAGTTCAAACTTCAGATCTTTTTTTTCAGTAAGTCTTTACTTTGCATTCATATATGTTCTTAATGTGGTATCTTTTTAGTTCCTTTAAAAACTAAATCAATGTTGGTTTTGAAATTATTTTGTGTTTTGATCAGAGAAAAATTAAATGCAGTTTTGTTGAAAAGATCATTTTAGCTCCCAAAACTTTATAGGGCCTTATACTTAAATATTATACTTACTTATAGTATACATGTGACATTTGAGAATATAAGCAGTAAGATGCGCAACATAATTATTGTGTAAAATGTTTTATTGAATTTGTCAATAGTCATTAGTATTGAGAGGATGTGTTGAGTGTAGAGTAATCTAATCTGTGGCGGTAGAGCTCGCAGTACCCTCAAAGTGGAAATGTAACTCAATCTAATCTCATTGTCTATTAGCAAAATATAATATAAATGCCAGTGACTATTTACTAACATTTTCTATTCAATTTATTGCGTAAGTTTCTTTTATAGAAATCATTAGAATCTGTTGGCGCCAGATGGGTTCGTGGCATACTGAGTAAAATCTAATTGGTTGTGTCATATTTCATGTACACAATTGTGAAGCTCAAAAGCTAGAGTAATATTCTGTACAAAGTCCGCTGTTTGAGATGAGGAGTCTTACGTTTCCAAGAGGTAATTGTCAAGTAATTGTCTTGGGAGACACTTACGCTTACGCATATGTAACTTGATAGTTCCTGTATAATAATACAATATTAGCAAAACTGGCAATTGTAGACAACTCTCTAGAGATTTTTTTTTTTACAAAAACACAAACTTGTGCTGTAAGTTGTATATTACTAATGTGGTTTTGTCTTTCATTGATGGGCTTTTTGGTTCAAACCTTTTTTCTATGTGGGATGTTTTACGAATTATGTTTTGTTTCATCTGTAAGTTTTTCAATATCTTAATTGTGTTAAGTACATTGGTATACATAATTTACAAATATACATATATATTTTTAAAGGCTATTTATTATAATTATATTGCAATTGTAATCATCAGACTGTTTGTTTGGTGGTATTTTTCCTGTCATAGTATATTGCATTCATCGTTGTCATAGCATTATATTGATACAACTACTTGTAAAACATCTGCAGGTTTTATCTTATTCAAACCACTTATCTTACATTTTTCAGTATATTCATTAGCAGTTTATCAAGGGAAGTATTGTTAAACCCTATGGCAGTTGGAACAAAAGTCCCTAGATTTAATGCACCATTGGTGACAATAGGTCCTCTTGATAGATCAATACGTATGTGGCTCTACATCATGTGGTGAAATTGACATTCTCATCAAAGATTGAGAAACTATCATTAAAAACCATATTTTGCTATCTTTAGTCCAAGAGTATCTCTCTTCTTTCCAAAGCTATAAGAGAGGTTTTGCACAATGGGTTATAGCTAAAACGTATCCTCAACAACACCTCGGTTTAATTGAACTATTACGCGTAAATCTGCTGAATGCTTTACAGATTTTATGGATTGGGCTAAAAAGTAATGCGAAACCTCTCTACTGTGCCAGCTAAACCTGATGTTGTTAGACAATCTTTTGTTATTCAAATCCTCAGTCCAGTAGATTGAAACAGATTGGTAAAGTCATCTGGAGTCAAATGAAACACCAATATCAGCTTTGGTCCCAGTTTAATTTAAGAAGAGGTCACTTAAGAGAAATCAATTTAGGCCCAAACTATTGCGTTTCGACTTTGTGAAAGAATCTTCATCTTGGTATACAATAAGATGTCATGTCATGTTTAAAACATCAGTTTGGGCTTTCATTGTTGCTGTACTGTAGTCCAGTTTCTTTAGAGACAAGTATTGGTCAATGGGATGGCAAATCCCAAGACAACGGTAGTATTTATCTGAAATGTTTCTGAGACAATAGGGCCTTGAAGAATAAATTTGAGGTCACAATGGATCTTGCTGTTTGATCCTCAATTTAAACTGTCTCATTTATCTGATTTTTTAATTATTTTGTCTATGTCTATTTTTCTACAGGTCTACTTAGTCATACATGTATGTACCTTATTATTAGATGTGAACTTCAGCATTTAGGATTTTATTTACATGATTAGTTTTTAATCTCATATTGGTTTCTGCTATGTTAGTTTGGGGAAAAGAGCTGTTCTTTGCAGTTAAATAAAAGAACATTGATTTATTAAAACAAAAAGGTTCAAAAAATATTGATGTACCAAATTGAAGATGATTTCTTGACATCTCTTTAGCATTTCTCAATCTTAATTTGGATAAATCATACCTCAGTTATGAAATACCATATCTTAACTTAATTTGATAAATTCTTAATTTGATAATCAAATCAAATCAAAGATCATCTTAGGTATCTTACAGCTATACATAAACTGCATGTATATGCCAAGAGTTTTAGCATGAATTATTTATGACAAACTAATGCTTTACTATTTCACTAGTATATTGATTATGCTGTATGTTTTTCTCCTATATTATTTATTGATGTACAGTGCATAGACACAGATTTAAAATGAAATGAACCGTTTTGGGGTCATTTCGTTCAGATTGAAGTGGGAAATAATTCCCAAATTGACACAATGAGGTGTTCCACAAAATAGATTTATTCTTAACTGTCAGTTGAACCAGTCACTCTTTCATTTTCTAGCACTAAACTGACATGATTTTGTGAAGCGGTAATTTGATTTTACTCTCAGCACTGCTTCAAAAATTGGTCTTACTCTCAAAGCTTGGATAAATATCCACTTAAAGGATTAAGGGTTGGCGTCCCAGACAAGCCAATAAAGATGATACAGTTGTCAGGTGTTGGAATAAGAATAAAGTAGTCATCAATTAGCTTAGCTCTTTTGTCGTTCCTTACTTCATTTACAAATTAGGAAAGAACCCATCTTCCATGAAATAATAATGAGGAATAGTCTGACTGTAAAATGATAAGGAAACTAGGGTATTATTGAAATGTTAAGAGGAATAAAATGAATGCCAAAAAAAACAAAAATAGGATGCAATGATTCATACCTATTCTGTAAAATTATCTCTAGTAATATTAATATGTATCATAGTCGAACACTTCTAAATAAACACATCAAATCGATGCAATTTGCTACTCGCCAGGTGTCTAATTGGCTAAGAGTTCTTTGCTACTTTACGTTTTACCATCCACGCAATTATTGAAGCTCTCTTGATTTATATTACAACGCTTTGTTCGATGATTTAACCATTTTTTATTACTTTTACAATGAAACTTACGTCAACCGCTTCAGAATTTGTTGTAAAGTATCCTAGCAATGGTATTATAAAGAATTAGAGAAATACAGAAAGTATGGATTCCATACTGCAGGCAGTTGTAATATGTCATCCCTCCCCAGCAGGATTGAAACCTTCGATGTATCTATCAATAACAATGTCATCATTCCGGATGAAATGCCAATAAAATGCATAATAATTATACGACAGGTATCGACCACGTCTACAAACAATTTTATAAAGTACTTTAACTGCCTTAAGTAGACAATGGAAGTCAAATTTACATATTTTTATCATGTATGATAAAAACTTAATGATTCATTGTTGCTTATATTATCTTTCTTCTGTATTTGCAGATATGCCATTCAAGCCTAAAACTCGGCCCCCAGCTGGTAAGTCTAATAATTTGTTGACATTCTGGAGTGATTGATTGGTTGATTAATTGAGTGATCGATGTATCAATTGATTGATGTATTGATCGATTGATAAAGACGTGACCATGACATAGAAATCATTATATCCACAGGCCCGTAGCCAGGATTTACCAAGGGGGGTTCACTTTTTGCAAAATTCCAGGGGGGTTCACTTGTGACAATTTTGGTCCAAAAATGGCCCCTGGCTATGGGCCTGATCCACATTTGAAATTCTATAGACAGCATTTGATTAATCTTTTAGAGTGGAATGTATTTTCTATGCCTTTGGTCACATCCAAATAACATTATACAAATTGGAATAAATAGAGTGTTCTATTAGAAATGGCTGATGGCCATTTATGTCTGTATAAACGTAATTGTTAGAAAGTGCCATTAGAAATATAGCATGGCTTTGTAAAATGATGTCTCTATCTGAAAGATTGTATACTTTTGCAAGAATTCAGTGAAGTGTCTGTAAACGAATCTCAACCATGAAAAAATATAAAATTATAAAATGACACCTAAAGGCCCACTTCATCAAAATGTAAATCCTTGAATCTGCAAGGTAATTATGTACATTTTATACCTAAGCCTAAGGAAGGACAATTGATTTGCAGATCAGTAATTTGACAATGTTTGGAATCGTTTACAGACACAATACTTAGTTTTACAATAGAATACCTTTTTGGCTGGCTTCAGTGATACTCTTGCGTCTTGCTTGTTTGTCATCTTAGCTTCTTTGCATGTATTGACTCTCAAGCGTTACAACTCTATTGTGATCTATTTGCCTGTAACTCTGAGGTATCGAGATATTGGATATAATGGCTGGCTTACAACAAAACAAAGCCTCTTTTAATCCTGGTATTAGAACTCTTTGATGCTGGATATGATTCTCATGACTTATGACAAATGATATATGATATGGAGCAAATATATATCAAATTTGATATTATCTTAATCTCATAATAATTTATCACTTTCCAAGATAATTTGTGCCATTTAAGTGTCAGGTTATTTTCTCTGTTTGCATCTCAGGTTTTCACTTTGGCATGGATCTATTTCAAATAGACCAAAACAAGTGGAAATCACACCTGAGAAATTACAGTTGCAGATATATGTGTCAAATTAGGCTATTGCATCTAAATTGGAACAATCTAATAAGTATGGAAATATAATGTAAATGTGTCTGACATACATTAGCTGAAAGCACAATTTATATAAAAATAATGGTCAAATTCTTTATTATTGATCGCATGATTATTAATGCGATTCATCTATGTTTCTACGGGGATTTTTTGGAGCCGATAGTAGATCTTTGCAATTATTCTGTATGTACAATAGCAACTCGGCATTAGTGCCATACTATTCAACTTCAGCAAACTAATAAAATTGTGAAGATGTCTCAATCGAAAAAATGTTATACATTGTTATTGGAACATTAGCTCCTTGAGAGGGGAATTGAATTATGCAAATATCCAAGGCAGGTTTCATTATGACTTTCTGTTGAAAATGGCAGGAAATTTGAAATTAGATTTTCTCGTGATCTGACTTTAGTACAATGTCTAAACATATTCAAGGCAATCTTGTGGTTTCTCATGAAAGACATCAAGACAATAATTACGACTCAACAAAATAGGACCATATGGTCATTATGAAAAATATACATTTTCAAAGTCAACTTGAAATATTGAAGTCTATGATCTCGGTTTGAATTGAAGAAGCTTATATGGACCAAGAATCAATATTTTAAATCCATGTTTTATTAACACTCGAAACATTGATTAAATAATTGTTTATGACTAGAAATGCTTCAAAATTGTTTTGTTGCCAAACCATCATATTCCTTACCCTTTTCATGTCATTTGTGACAAGTCTTGTTTGAATCAATTTCAAAGGATGAATTTCCTTTTTCTTTTAAGCACCTCTAGCAGCAATAGCAATGTAGCATTTTGCAATATGTTCCCCTATCTTTTTTATATGATTATATACATATCAGCAAGAGTTTTAGACAACTTGTCTTTGTAAGTGTTTGTACATGTACCGTAAATGCATTATGTGAACTTGTCTCAGATTTTAATGTTGCCGTGTTGTTTCTACAAGATATGCCGCAGTCTGATCAACCTGGTGTGTATGCTTCCTTTATGCATGCTTTCCCCACTGTTTATAATGTTGTCCAATATTTATTTTTTAATATCTGGTTTTAACTGTGATAGATGGCGCTCTAATGGCATTCTTATTAGGCCTCATCTAAAAGTAATTTTTGTCTAGCTTTAAGTTTAAAAACTTGCTATTCTAAGTTTAGAGGTTTTCATTTTAAAGATCGTTAAATGGCAACCCTCAAATGTTAGATATTACCACTAAATTATGTAAAATATTTCACTGAGATGCCTAACCCAGATAAGAAAACATGTTGAAAGAATCAATTTATTAGAAAGGTTACATCAACTTATTTGTTGTTTTAATAATCTTCACCTCCCTCTGCAGTAACAACTTTGTATTTTTATAGTCTCGTAGAGATCATAGACTATACTATGCCTCTAATGGAATTTTTGTAAATTTTATTTAATATCAGATTCTATAAAACTAAGATAGTTCTGGTTTTTGAGATTTTTTATTTTGTAATAATGTCACGATAATTGTCTATTTAATTGCATGTTCAGGTTATGTGTTATTTCTACAATCAATTTCAGGCTCGTCTTTTATTTAATTAAGGTAGCCTGAGTAGAATAAGTAATTTGCTGAATTACTGGAATCATTCAAGGCAGTAATTTTATATGTGGATAGTTTAACTTAAAGCAAAACAGTTGTTTTACCATTTGCTTACTGTCAATGTCCACCTTAACTTTACTGTCCTGTATTTTGCACGTAGGCTTCCATCTGACAATATGTGCAAGCCTGTATCAAAATCATTCCACTTGGTCTACCTTTAATCATTCATATCGGCATGTCATGAGAAAAATAATGACTGAATATTATAAGATGTGACTTGTCAAAGTTAAGAGCCACTGTTGCTTATTGTTGTTTGTATTCATTGCCTCCGATGATGTCACAGGTAAATTCGGTAAATCGCAACGCCACAATGAAATCTTCAAACCTGATAAACCAAAATACACAATGCGTAAGTGTAAAATTCTACATTACATGTATGTTGTATTTGCTTAAGTTTCATCTTTTCAACATTTATCTTAGTTTTAGTTTTATATAGGTCCCAATGAGAGAATTATCTCAGTAATTTGTCAAAAGTTAAGCATGCATGTATATTATGACAAATGTTTTATAAATTGTAGTATTTCATTCATTTTAGATAAGTTCATATTGTAGTCATTTGTTTTGTTATTTGATCTGGATGTGCTTGATGGATCACCAGATTAATCAAGAGCATTACAATACCTGTGCTGGTAGATTGGTTCATACTCTGTGTGTCTATGATAGCAGCTTTTTGCATTAAGTTATTAATTGGATAGGATATTAGGGTTTGGTACAGTTTTTCTGTCCATCAATTACACTATGATCTGGAGCATCAAGAGATGATGCGGTCAATGTACTACCCCATTATTGTATTGGCTTAAATCAGATACGTTAATGCAGGCGGCGCAGCTCATACACTACGAAACAAATTGAACTATCACTCTATCCCATACCATACCATACCACACAATACCATACCATACCATTTCAGGTATTGAATTTGCCCTTGGTGCACTTAGATAACTAATGTTCTTTATTCAGATTAAGATCAATTTGACCTCACTTTTTTTATTTATATTCCACTTATTTATAACTTTTTTCCATAATATTCCAACTGTTGTTTAATCAGGTATGGTGAGTTTGTCACAATGATTAAGCACTCGCTCATTATTCTACTGAACCAAAAAATAAAAAGTAACTTAGGTTAAAATGCCAATCTGCCATGAAATGTCTCCTGGAGTTTCATGACAATTGCCCAGGAATTATCAGTGGGTAAAAAAGCATTTGTTGCTTCAAACACTGAAAATTAAAAAAATCATGAAAAATTGGATATTTTGACCATATTTGAGCATTCTCATTCAGAATTGTCAGAATACAAATTTTGTACTTTGTTAAAAAGAAAGCCTGGGAAGGCCACTTTATTCAAAGCATTTTAGATTATTTATCATGTTTGAACTTTTAGACATGGTTGGAGATCTACTTATAGTTGATGGAAAACTCACAATTCATGGATCTTCTTTCAAGTTGGTCAAATTAACCTTATTTCACCTTGAGATGACAGCATTGACATTCAATTAGTGACTCTAAAATACATCAATTGCTCATGAGCAATATACCATTCCAGCCATAGTGATATTATTTGCATTTTAAGCAATTAGGTAAAGCTCTATAAGAGCGACACTTCATCACTTTTGACAGCTTTACTATTTCTTCACTTGATGGATCTGTCACATCAGAGCGCATTGACATTATATAAGTGATGAGGTAAAACCTTGAAACTTAAAATGAATGCTATACAATGAGGCAAATATTATATGAGTATGGCCAATTGAGTAAGAGATCAGACAAATGGTTTCACAAATTAATGTATTTTTAGTTTTGCTTCAAGCCCCCGTGACCCCGTCCCTCCACATACCTCATCTTTGAATATGAAGTAGAAGTAGGGAGGGGGTCTGGAGATTTGATGTAAGAGTAGTATAATATAGATACAAGTTTACATGTGAATTTCATGAAAATATATATCAAACTTGTGAATATAAAAAATATTTTGAAATGTTTCACAATTTAAATTATTTATGTTTTATATTGCATGGGTTATGGTTGAGAATCGGGATATGATAAAAAAAATATTATATACATGTAATCACTGAATTTGTATTTGTATGTCAAAATTATTTATTAGGAGGCCCCAACGGGGGGCCTCCTATAGATTTTATAGATATTATTTATTAGGAGGCCCCAACGGGGGGCCTCCTATAGATTTTATAGATATTATTTATTATTCTTTATTA